TTAAGAGATCTATGGATCTATGTGCTCTTTGCTTGATTCATGCCTTCCCAGCCCCTTATCACATAGCCTATAAGAGCATGGCGCCAGTTGTAGTAGACAGTTGTGGTGAAGGCATCTGACTTACTTGAACCGAAATGTCTACATGCATAGCAGAAGATGGCATCTTTTTTACATGAATATTCCAGCCAATCTCTGTTTTGAAACCATGAGCTGCAAAATGAGCACCTTGCCCCACTGTACAGGCGAGTTGGGTACTTTTTTAAATATACCTGGGCAGGCTCTGTTTTGCCGAGGTCCTCTGGCACTTGCGGGCCGCTGAGGGGTGGCGGTGTTTGGGGCAACGAAGACGGCTGCGGCAAAGCCGGCGAGTCGGGCGTTAGTGTACAAGACAGTGGCCGCGGGTAACGTAATGTCCCCATGATCTGAACTGTTATTATCTGCAGTAGATGCAGTGTTACTGCTGGCGATAAGGGCTGGTTGTTTTAACCATTTTCTGAGTTCCATCACTGATTGCTGTGTAAGCACCATAGGGAAGCACCTTGCTTAGACGTGCTTAGAAATCCCAATGCAACACTGAGTAAGCCTGTATGTGTTTCTGATAGTTGGGTGTGGACAGTTCCATCAACCCTGCAGTCATATGTGGTACACTCCAATCATTTATTGCAATACCTTTGGCTGTAACAACATTGGCTGCAACGGCACAAAACAGAAAGTATACCCTCAAGAGGGAGTCCAAAATATTTGATTTGAGTCATTTGAAATTAAAACTTTTAGGTAGCTTAGTAAAGCAGAGGTAGTGATGTCAGTGATTTGCCAGTAACATTTAAGGCACCTTATACCAGCAGAACAACACATTTGTTCAGCTCCACTGTCTTCCATCAGCTGTGAGGGGTTAGCGGTGGTAAAGAGTGAGCTCCAGTGAGGCTTGTGGTGACTTCAAGCTGGGCAGGTCAGCATAAAACATCTATGAATGCCAGATGCTCCCTGACCTAAAACTTGATCAGAAACACATGTCTGCTAAGGTGTGCCTCTTCCACGAAACCCTGCGCTCTGTTTTCTCTTCCTCTTTTAAGACCCAGCATGAGATACCTTAACTGTAGCTTTTAAAATGGCTTTACCACTTGTTCTCTGGTAGATGACATTTGAATGTTCACCACAACACCGCAGAGAGGACAGCTAATAGATTGTGCAAACGTGTGTGTGGACAGTTTTGGGTCAAAGTTTTGGTCAGGTCCATGCTTCAGTGCAGAGCAGACTTCCTGTGTTAGACCAAAATATTATCTGATATCTCAGCACGGAGCTATGGTAGTCACCTAAGTTCTGGGTAATGGAAACCTCTCACTGTTGCATGAGTTGATCAACGCCCAATGCACTGAAGTGATCCACCAAGCCCCATCAATTTCTGTCCATGTTCATCCATGCCAGATGCATGCCAAGGCCACTCTGTGTCTGAGGGCTGTTTCCTGAACTGAACAGTGAGACTGCTATGTCTTTATGTAGTTGTAGTTGCACTATATCACACTGTATTCAGGGGGTTTGACAAAGTAGCCTTTTTATTTATGGCCCTTCTCACTCTCCGTCTGGCACCTCTCCTCCCTGCTTGGCGTTCCCTTTTCTGCCGCTGCACTGCTGTTTACCAAGTCGAAACACTTGCAGTTAAGTGAGAGTGGAAAAATATGTTGATGACCTCCAACCTAATCCCAAAAAATAAAAATGGTATCCTGTGGAAGTTCCTACAACAGAAACAAAGGCTGTGAATTTTGCAGACACCTGCACTTCAGTCAGTGTTTTAGTCCGAATGAGAAAGGAGTTTTGGGGGTTCCTCAACAAGTCTATATGTATGCAGAAACTAGTCTGTGTTTCTCCGAGGTTGGCAGTCACAGTGTTGTATGCTTTGAGTAACAGTAGTTACAATAGATTACAATGGTGACCAAGTTTTACTGGGACATTGATGAACAAAGGTGCTCTATTGGCGCAACTCTAATAGCTTAAATTAATTGCTAATCTAATCGCTAATAATCAACCTGTTACTGCCAGTGTTAAATGTAGGCCTTGAAAAAACATCTGAATGCTGAACTGATGCTGATAAGCATTGAAAGAAGTGTCACAGAAATATATAACCTAACCAAGTAGTTGTGTTTTGAAAATCCACCGTTTTACAATGTAAACATCATTTTAAAAACTTCAAGCGTTATGTTAAAACTACTATGCTAGTATGTATTATTATAGGGTTGAAACAAATGACTTATTTGGTCGTATGGTTCGGAGGACTTGTTGCCTTCAATTGATCAGATCTACAGTATAAGGTCTTCCCTTGGAGGGGTCATTCTTACTTTTTTGTTAAAGGTGGGGTAGGTAATTCTCTTAAGAAATACTTTTTGTTATATTCCATGGAATGCTCTTAACATCCCGATAGCAATGAATATGTTAAATGCTTTGACAATAAATGCATTAAAAAAATGCATCATTAAGCACGACCAATCATTTTACCTGCCTGTCAGCCTTCCATCTCGTGCACAAACTTATCTCGTGCCCTCATTGGTCATGTGCGCATTCGTGTGTGTTGGAGGAGGGGCTCTGTAAGGAAGTCTGAAGGAAGGGGCAGATTTTGTTCGGCTGCCTACTTTCAAATTCTAGCGCACTCGATAGCAGCTGTTCCCATGGTGTTGCTCGCATAGTTAGCTTTTTTCCTTTAACGTGTGTTAATACATCAAATAGAAGCTTTGTTTTAGCCATGTTGTGGTAACAACTCAAATCAGTGTTATGGTCAGTTATGCTAGAGGAGTGGTTTGAGAAGTTTGTTTCATTTTTATTGTCATTTTTATTTATTGTCTGGTAAAGTTGAAATCTTTTGTAACAGTTGACATTTCTTTAAAGATGTGCTAAGTGTCTTCCATTTTGTAAGTATGTTGCATATACTGGCAAACACTAGCAGTTCAATTTTTGTAATGAATGTTGATGTTTCAGTTCCTTATATATTGTTTAGAGTTTCATTATCCATCACAACAGTGAGTGTGTTTCGTGTTGCCTAGCAGCTGCTGTCTTCATTCTGTGCCCTGATACTGCCCTTTCTGGCTGCTTTGTAACCGGAAGTGAAACACTATCACCTAACCACCCATCTGTGCACAAATAGTGATGTGAAAACATGTACTATGAAAGGCTAATGTTAGAAAGGTGATAGTGTCTAAAGCCAAATGTGTGTGTGTTTTCAGAAAAGAGGGCAGAAATGAAAATGCCTGATAGTTAGAGAGAGCTGCTGCTCTTTACAAGCCTCAGTTCTCTAACACCAAACTGCTTTAGCAGAACTTGTTCTTCCTACTCGCTGCACAAGCTTCAAAACCACATTTTTCTTAGACTTATTAAGAAAAACACCACCATGTCTCACACTATAGAACTACAAGTGGTTAGAAGCAATATTTAGAACATCTACTCAGAATTTAGGAAATGGTTGGTCTCTGCCTTGACCATAGGAGCTGATATAATTAGACACAGTGTTGAAACAAGAAGAAGTCTCTACAAATGAAAAGCTGATGTCTTACTATTAAGTCATTAACTGAGTCACACACACACGTCCACTCATCACACCAGACACTGCTGTCATCATAAAGTACATTATAACAGTGATGAAAAAATATCATTTTTTTTCAATGTAAGACCCAAACACTTGATAAGCACAATGGGAAACTATGTTCTATAATATGCTAAGTTATGGCGCATTTCGACTGCAGCGCAGAGCATGGTTTAAGCGTGCCGTGCCAAACCCGGCCCGTTTTTGTTGCGTTTCCACTAGGGGTACCTTTTCACAGTTTTTCTGGCCCTCCAAAATCGTGGTTCTTTCCGGGCCAACAACCGGGCTGAATATGCTAAACTAGTGACTTGAGTGGCTACAACTACAACACAATGAACATATTTTACCGTGATTTAATTGTAATACACGTTTCAAAATGATGCCGAAGTAACAACATACTGATACCGGTTAGTAAAAACCATGAATTAATGCTTTGACAAGTCTGCAGACAGACGGCAGGCGAAAAAACTTTTAAAATGTGTGTTTTCTGAATGGAGATCGGCTAAGCTAACGTTGTATATGCTCCGACCGTCCACACTCACAACAACGGCCTATACAGACATAAATAAACCAACAACTGTATTCTCCATGACACAGACAGTCTGTGATTTGTACTTGTTTAACTTTTGTCTAGTTTCTGAACAGATATGAGGAGCTGTGAGCTCTGAGCGCTAACAGCTAATGGCTGATGTTGGTTTTCTGTGGTTCGCATTGAAGATGACGTCAAGGCTCCGCCTACACTGCGTTACTATAGTTACTGCCCCAGCTACTAAACTGTAATGGAAACGCAGCATAAAGTGAGCCTGGCCTACCAAGGCCTAACTATACCGTACTAAGCCGTGCGAGGCCCTGCAGTGGAAAAGCGCCATTAGTTCATATTCCTAAATAGTTTTTGGGGGCTCTATATGGGGGCCAAAAGAAAAAGTATTTCCCTGAGACACTCTTACTATCGAAAACTAAAATTTAGTAAAATAAATTTAATACATTTTATACCATCATAAATATATTTCAGTTCTACTTTTTAATTTGTTTATCTCACTACAGAAAAAGAAAGACAGCATGAATTATCAAAAACTCTCATGACATTGAAACACAAATTAAACAAACCTGACATTTTAGGAAAGGGGCTATGCAACAGTTACCACACAATGTGTTCATACAACATTGTATTTTTGAAATAATTTTCTATCATTTTTTTTCAAACACTATGTTGTATTTTAGCATTAAAGTAAAAACATTGGACTACACTTAAATATCTTTTTATTTATCACAATATATCGTCATTGCAATACTCAACAACGTTAACATATACTTTACTCATATAGTATAGCGCCTATAGCTAACCATACAGATAAGACGAGTCCTTTCCTATACAGACATAATGTTATTCTGTATCCTGTCCTAAATGTGTTCTCGTTCCTCCATCATGCAGAGTGCAAAAGAGGAGCCAGCCCGGAGAAAAGAGCCCAAGTTCCTGGGTAAGGAGGGCTGGGTGAAGAAGGCCCCCGGCAGACTGTTGGCCAGCTACAAGGAGCGCTACGTCCATGTGGAGAAGACGGAGATCGTGGTGTATGACAATGAGGTACACCACTGTTATGTCTCCTACTCATTCCACTTTTTCACTAATTTGCACCATTTTACAGTACAGAGTTATATAACTGTCATATTCAGAGCATTTTATATTTCATTATGAACATACTTAACATGCAATCTAATCAGCTTATAAGCACTTTTTTTATAGTTTAGTGCACCATAATGAATTGAAATTCCATGGTCATTATGAAAATATTATAAGATTTTCATAATGACCATGGAATTTCAATTCATTACAACCTGTTATACTATAAGTGTTAATTTTTTGCTTTAATTCAAATGAAAAAAAGGTATTATTGAGTGTTAAGGTGAGGGATCACCAATTCTGAAGTAATATGAGACATTACGTTATGAGGCAATGTAAAATGCTTCGCAATACGTTATGATTGTTGAAATAGAGCCTTTTGGGTAATTGTGTGCTTACAAATATAATTAAACAGCTAATGTATCACAGACAAGGGCATCTTAGAATATGTTACATCACACTCTGTTCTGCATTCACATATCACAGAAAGCTCTCAAAGATAATACAGTCACAGAGTTGTTCAGAATAAAAACCTATTATCATTATATTGGTCACCAGGACAACAGTAGTCGTGAGCAGGTTGTTTGTTTTTTTGCGATATTTGTTGATATAAAAAAAATCAAAAATGATGTCGCCTTATTTATCTTCTATTTGAAATGACAGATTTGCAGATGATTGACTGGTAAATGTGTGTTGCAGGATCTGAAGAACTGCTTAGAGAGGCTTGACCTGGAGAACTATGATAAATGTCACGAATTAAAGAGTCCCTTCAAGAAGAAGCACAGACTGATACTGATCCGCTCCTCCAAGCCCGGAAATAAGGTGAGCTTTGTGTGGAAAATAGAGCTCTGTGTATACAGTAGGCCATGGTAAGAGTGCTTAGTGACATACAGACATACAGCAGGTCACCCTTGAAAAAGAGATCAATGATCTCAATGGGATTCACCTGCATAAATAAAGGTTTGAAATGAAATGAAAATGACAGAAGCTCCAACTGTCAGGTTTACAAGAAAATAAACTAACATAAGGAAGAAAGGAAGTGAGAGTGATAAACACGCAAATGTTAAATGACAACATCCAGGACCAAAACACATGCTGCGTTTGTCATGCCCTATTTTAAGTTTTAAAACACCACAAAATGATTTAGCTAAAGGACAACTTCCTGTAAGATCTGGTTGGCTTTAACACGCCCTCTACTAACCCTGACAGTTGTGGTAACAGGATGTGTACAAAAACTGACTTCTGCAAACAGAAGTTGGAAATGATGAAGTTTAGTCACAAGCTTGTTGTGATGAGATTCACACACACGACAATTCAACACACATTGTAAGAAAAGGACTCCTGGCAGGAAGTAAAAGCACTTCTAGTAAAAGCAGAAAACATTTGACTAGGTTTCAACTTTAAAGGTGCACTAATACATATGTTATGTTAACAGTGGATCAAATTGGAGCTGTGATGTGAATGGAGTGGCTCATATTAACAAACAGGAAAATATAATTTGACTCTACAATTCTCCTCAGCTCTACAAATTGTTATATTGTTTTGTCCCATTAGTCTTTGTTTTATCAAAAATAAAAGTCAGATACACCCACCATTCATTACCTACCCAACACACATGTCAACAAGCTGGTGGACATAGTGGAGCATTAAGCAGCTAAATATATTTCTCTAAGGAGTTGGAGGAGACCAAAAAAGAGTTAAAAGAAAAGGAATATTGATCACAAACTAGAAAGAGTGCTGTTGTCTCCTTCTCCTTTCACAAAAAAAGAAGAAGAATTACACTTAATTGTTCCTCCTAACTCCATTCCAGACACAATGAAGGAAATATAACAAGAAAAAAAGGGATTTGTTCATCTCGTATCGTACCTAACTTAAGTGGAACATGATTTATCGAGGTATGGAAGTAATTCAGAATCAGACAAATTTTTCTTTATGGGTGGATGCTTTTGAGGCCACAACAATTTCAAAAATATTGCTTGCAACAGACAAGGTAACAAAGCAAATCCTCCAAAAAACCTCTGGTAATACTGAAGCAGGAGTTGATCTACATTTGGCCGTCAAATGTAGGGAGGATTCATCAATCCATGACAGTATAAAACAGTCAATAAAATAGGTGTTTTTCATAGGTGTTCATAAGTCTTTAGATGTACACTTGAGATAGCCAGTCCTTGCAGTGTGCAGTATCTTTTAAGCACAGTTTCAATGAAGCAGTGGGTTGTGAGATGTTGCCACTTCCTCTTTGAGGTCAGCTTTCAGTTTTGTGTGCTGGCTCTAACAGAGACACCTCTCAGTCTAAGACTGGAGCCACACGAGAACGGTAACGCAAACGAACCGATATCGATATCAAAAAAGTCTTCCGTCCACACGCAATAGGCACCAGAAACGTGTCCATTCACACGAGACCGCTCGAAAGCGCTGGAGACGCTGTCGTACATATGCCGGGCCTGTAAGTGGCGCTGTACTTCTGCCACAAAATACACCAAAAGCAGCGAAGAAGACTTCCTGCGCATGGTTGCCATGGTTGCCCTTCTGTTTATTCTCCGCGGTGGACGCTCTGGCTCTTTTTCTCCCTCCCCAATGCAAGCGTGTGCTCCTGCTGTAAATCTCTCCGGTAGTCCACCAGCAGATGAAAAACACCCACCTCTCCACCTCTTCCAAGGGACGAGGGAACCGTGCGGCAGAGTTTCCGTTAGATTTTTTTTTTTCGCCTGTCAACATGTCCGTTAAAGTTTCAATCTTCCGGACAAAATTAGAAAAGTGCCGGTCAGAGGTCTTCTTTGTTATTTATTGAGCTTTAAAACAAATTGATAATGACTCTATATAATAATATAAGAATAGTAAATGGAGCCTCTCTTTTCCTTCCCCTCTTCTGACAGCCCAGCAGCTGATCTCTGAGCAGGAGAGGTGGGGAGAGGCGGGGTTATTGCGTCATTGTTATCAGGAAATGATCGTATAGGGCAGGGGTTCCCAACCTTTTTTCCCAAGAGCCCCCCCAAATGACTCCTGTTGGAAGTTGCGGCCCCCTTTTTTTTTTTTTTTTTTTTTTTTTTTTTTTTTTTTTTCTTTTTTTTTTTTTTTCTTTTTTTTTTTTTTTTTTTTTTTTTTTTTTTTTTTTTTTTTGTTTTTTTTTTTTTTTTTTGCGTATTTTTCTGTCTTTACATATTAAGAAAGTATATCTTTAAAAGAAGACGGGCATATTTCAAAGGTTTGGCCGAACAAGACCTAATTCGCGTAAAATTGTGTATCAGTAACAGGTACGCGGCAAAGTCAACGGTAATAAACAGTGTCAACGAGGCTAGTCAAGCCAGAGGAGGAAAAAAACATCTATAAAATGGAAAACTTAGGTGTATTGTGTATCCGGTTTTAGGCCCAATGAAACTGCGTACGCAAAATTTTGACAAATGTAGCGCCGCGGGACAACCACTCAACAACCTTACAAAGGTGAACGGCCGCGGCGGAAATTAAAGAAAGATGTCGCCCTTAAGGTTTACTTTAATTGAGGACTCAGGTTATCGGTAGTATTCAGTGAGGTTAATCACGAGGAATTAATGCGAACCAGCCAGGAGGAATTGTCTTATGAAGTGTACAGTAGGCAAACGACTGTGATCAAGCAATCGTAAAAACGCTGAAAATTTGAACTTGAATGTCGACAACGCGGCGGGGGGGGGCACGACACAC